GCTCCATTTTTATATATTAGTATGTATTACGTAAATCAGCCGGTGCATTCGAAACATGTTTATGTGTGTGTGTAAAGAGAGGGAGGGAGAAAAAGTGAGAGAGAAAGAAAGAGAAGAAAAACCAAGTAAATGGATTGAGAGATTAAAATATGACAAATGTGATAGAGAGATATAGATAAACACGTTATATATATATATATATATATATATATATATATATGTGTGTGAACACTTTATATATATGCGTGTGTGTGTGTATAAACACATTATATTTATGTGAACACTTTATATATGTGTGTGTGTGTGTGTATCTATAATATATATATATATATATATATATATATATATATATATATATATATATATATATATATATACGTTATACTTGCATTTGCCTTGATAAAGTCCTTCAAAGGACGAAACGCGTCGGTTAAGATAAGTTTCCTTTTGTCTTTATTCATATATACATGTATATATACTACACGTGTGTGTTTTAGAGTGATAGAAGTTGGCGACGAAAGATATGTTACACATAACCGTAAAAGAGAGGAATTCATAGGGAAGGAAATATAATGGTACCGAAATGAAACAATCGATTCTGTTCACCAAGTCATGATTTGTCTACCAGTTCAACTTACGTCACAGTCACTCAACACATTGATTTGTTTCCCGCACGCATAAGCATACAGAAGCGCGCGCACGTTTCCCCATTCCACTCACTTCAAGTGTTTCTTTTGTTTTCCACCCACATACACATTCCTTTTCTCTTCAGTGTATCAATTCATTACTTTCACTTTCACTGTTGCGATCACGTGATCTTTGAATAAGCGCAAAACCTGGAGACGGAAAAGAAAAGAAAGAAAAAAATTCGGTAAAACTCGGTCACTTCCGTAAAAGAATATCTGGTGGCTCTTATGTAGAACGTCTCATTTCTAGAAACAATAACTCTTCTTTCCTTGTTCAATAAAAATTGCAATAAGTAAGTAAAGTATGCTTTATGAGAAAAAAATAGATGTAAATAAAAAGAAAGAAAATTATTTTCTAATAATACATTTATTTGCGAATTATAATTATTGACCGATTAACGACGCTGCAAAATCTGTAGAAAATCTTTTCTTTTTTATCCTTTCATATGGTTTGTTTATTTATTTAGGCAGACGAAACAGTTGGAGAAAATACAAATTTGTTTCCTGCTTAATAATCACCTTAAAAATGTTAAATTGATTCGAAGTAATCTTTTTCAATTATCTCTTCCTCAGGTTGTTGCATTTTATTCCACTGGCTCTAATATAGAACGTTAGTTTTTCTACAGAAGCAAGCAGGCAGACAAGACTGTGTCATGTGTATCGAAATTAAAAGCGTCACCTATAACTATTTGCGCTACTAACACTAGTCTTTTAGAGCGGCTGCTATTGTCGTCCGTACACAGGTTTCGCGGATAACAGTTTTAACGGTAACCAGATGATAATAATACAAACTCGCGTGCAAACATAACAACTGAATCTCAATTCTTCTTATATTCATCAATAATAATAGCCACTTTCATCGTACACATTGGCGTGCATACCTTCTCCTCAGTACGACGACGCAAACAAACGGCCGATAAATACTCCCGTCTCTCAGGAGAAAACCTATATTGATACTTGAGTCGAATTAAGACAAATGAAGAATATCTTCGCACATACACAAACGTACCAATCTACAATGAGAAGAAAAAGGCACGTGCCTCCAGTGTCGTAAATGAATGCATGAGAAAAACAGGAAGTGATCTGGTTTGTGCGCGAATTAGTTGCTATTTTTTTTTTTTTTTTCTTCAGTTCCATTTGAAACCGCTCGTTCTCTCTTACAACTGTCACTTTCCCCTTCACTAACGTTTTATTTAAAGAGTTTAAATAACAACAATAATAAAAATAACAGCAACAATCATTATATAAGCGAACTGTGCCGTTTGTTTAACTCTTTCCATTCATTCTCTTTCCAACATCGGAGTCTCTTACCATTCATTTATCAATCAATCGTCATCGTCCGTTTTTAGATCTTCCTTTCTTCATCAACAACGATCAAGGTGAGTGTTTTGCTTCTTTTTAAAAAAAAAAAAAAAAAAATTCGTGACTCTAGTAAGAAGCTAGATTTAGATTTCCCTGTTCATCGGTATGGGGGTTAAATAATTTTTTTTTTTTTTATGTACATTTCTATGTACATTTTAAATTCTTTTCTTTTTTTAAAAAAAAAAAAATTTTTCATTTGCTTTCTTTTTTTAAAAAAAAAATTTTTTTTTTTTTTTTTTTTTATCTCAGCCAATTTCTAAATTAAATAGTCACTTACTAAAATAAATCTATTGTGTTTTTAAAAAATATTTTTTTAATAGTTTCTAAGAAACATAAGCAAAGAAAAAATAGCACAAGATGGGATGAATTGTTTCAAAAAAAAAAAAAAAAAAAAAAGCAATGTTATCAGACCTGTTACTTCAGGGCAAATAATTTATTTTAAAACAAATCCTAAAAATCAAAAATAAATCAATGTTTTATGCCCATACGGTTATTAGAAGAAATTCTTATCATAAAATAGCTTTGGTAAGCGTTTCTTTCTGTAAGTAATGTTTTATTTTTATCTAGCTACCAACAATAATGACAATGTGCAAATTAATTGTGGGGGTAAACGAAGTAAGCATTGCTGTTTTTAAAGGACATATACATTACCCCTGTCAGTCTTACACTATTATCATCAGGAAAAAAAAGACAAGGAAATTAAGATAAGTTTAAGCGAGGTAAACCATTTCCTTCGTTAACCTTTAAAATTAAAAGCAAAATCCTGACGAAATAAATTTCATTACGTAAAACGATTTTACGTGAAACTGAAGAAAAAATTATTTGAATTATTAATTAGTGTGTAGTCAGTCACATGCTTCCGAAATTTGAGATATTAGCATTTTAGAATTTAGGCCCATAGTGAGTAAAATGCTTTTGTTTCTTGTCTATGTATTACGAGTAAATGTACACAATCCACTCCACAGGTATGTGCAACAGTTAATGCGTTTTTTTAAGTAGTAGTGGTAGTAGTAGACACGCGCAGCGTATCAACACGTGCACGTAAATATGCGTGTGTCTCGCAAAATGTAGTGGTCAAATTGGAATACAGGTACTAACTAACGGTTTCTTAATGTTTAACTGTTGAGTGTTGATTAACTGTGTAGAGTGTAGAGACATTTTTTTATGCATAGCTGAAGGAGGACATAAGAGTTGCTAACTAACAACATCGGACAATTCATCTTTAGAGGAATACACCAATAAAAAAAATCTGCTCCCCAAAATATAGCACAAAAATTATTACATCTGACAGACAAGTTACGCCCATTATTATAAATTTTTAGAGATAGATGAATTCTAAATTGCAGGATACGTGGAGTGTAAAAATAAAATTGTTTCTCGATACCGATGAAGTTGGTTTCGAAACTGATCATCAGGTTGACCGACCGGTCTTTTACCTGTTATGAGATGTCATGAAGTGGACAGTAGCTGTTTTAAAAGTATAAAGATATCCGATCATTTCCTGTGATCCCTTATATAAAGTAATGCATATTCTGGTCTAGTTAGACCAGTGATTCTCAGCATGGGTAATAGTTCAGTGTACTCAAGGAGGTGGTAGGTGTTCAAGAGCACTGTGAGTTGGGTGCTAATGTTAGGTTAGATTATTTAATTCTCACATGTGCAAGTAGCATGAAAATTGAAAACAGCCGAGATCAAAATCCACTCTCACTTGTCTTCAGGTTCGCATTAATGTCCTTAGGAAAGCTATAAATCCCTCGCTTCTCTTCCCAGCTGGATTAAATAATAGGGTAGATTGGTCTATCTAGCGTCGAGTAGCAGTCTGGAGAAAAAATAAAACTGAATTCAAAACAGGGAAGAAGGCAAAAAGAAACCACTCCATTATCTTTCTCAAGAATTTATAGGGATTTTCTAAGCATAACTTAGATATGAGTATGACACAAGGCCGCAAGTATGAAGCACTCTTTGAGGATCGAGCCCACTACTCAATCGTAATGGATCTATCGAAACAAGATCGTTCACCATTACAACACATAGAAGTGCAGTTACAGCAATTTACTAAGCGTAACTAAGATGTGGGACAAGGTCGAAATCATCGAACACCCAGTGAGGATCGAACTCGCTACTTATTTAATTGATTTAGCGAGACAAGCCTGCTCACTATTATTACGCCACGTTGAAATGCCACACTGTCTGTTATTTTCTAATTCCCAGAGATTTTTATGAATAAATTGAACTGGAAGAAACCGGATATTAGTCTCTCGTTTTGATTTGGTCTGTAGGTTAAACAAATAAAATATAAACTAACAAATCTACCAAACAAAGCCCAAATAGCCCATGTTAATAGTTTGACCAACCGATATCGTGATGTAATAGTCAACCAAGCTAGACTTACAAATCATTATTAGTGGGTTCCATCCTCACCGTATGCCTCGGTAAGCTTAGTAAATGACAATATGACTATATTCGATGTTAATGACTTTGAAAGAATTAAAATGTCATTTGAAGAAATAATTCTAAATAATTGTGCGAGCCTAAACAGAACAAACCTGTGTATAGCATGAATGAGTTTATGGGCTACGCACTGGAATCGACGATCTGCTTAAAATCTGCTTCATTTTGTTGAGTAGAAAGCTTAGAGAAGTACTTTTTCTATATTACAAAATTTATTTGCAATTCAAATAAATATGTTGTTTCGCAGCTTTAATGTGAAATATAGTCGTTGTTTTTTATAAAGGACAGAATCCGCGTTTACCAAATTAGCGACAGTTGTAGGCATTTACTATTTATATTTAATAAACTTAGTAGGGCAACAAGACCAGACGTGAGGATCAAACTGCCGACTGTAATAGTGGTCAACCAGGTTAGTTTGCTAACTACGACAATTATTTCTTATTCAGACAGCAATGAATGTGGTGAAAAGGAATTATTTGAACGTGTTTTTCAGACATTTACATTCAAACACCGGTTTTAGTACGATCACCGAAGTTAAGCAACGTCGAGTCTGGTTGTACTTAGATGGGTGACTACTTGGAAATTCCAGCTGCTACAACCATGAATGTGCGGGGGGTGTAATGGATAACGGCTCGGAATTGGAAACCGGGAAGCCGAGTTCCAATTTCAGGCGGGTTCGTTATATTCACTTATTTGCAAATATCCACCTTTTCTACCCCCAAACTATGGGTTAATTAGTATAACTTGTATCATTAAATCATTATTATCCCCCCCAAATTCTTACAATCGAAATATTTTCTGGTTTTAGGATAATCTGAAGAAGGTTGATAAGTCGTAAAAAACAAATCAGTCACTCAGTCCAGATATTTTAAAAGCAAACTATTACTTAAAATGTTAAAGAAGTTCAGTAATTTTTTTCTCTCTAGCTTCTGTGTATGTTTATTTTATTTTTTTTTTTTTAATTAAAAAAATTTGAAATAAAACAAAACATTAGGAAACAATCACTGCAACAGTTTCAACATGACAGGATCGCCATTAGGAACTAGAAACCCAAATCTGATTTTTTTTTCTTTTCTTTTTGGAATTGGACGATGGGATCCCAGGTTCACGGAAGCTTTTACTGTTACATGTATATTTACAATTCCAAATCTTTTTTTGCCAAAGAAATAGATTTGCCCGGCGTTCTATAATCAATTATATTGAATTGAAATATAGTTAAATACAACTGGCGTTTTAAGAATTCAGAAAGAAAATTAAATAATTGCTGTTCTTTGTAAAACCTAGTATAGTGATGTAGTATCGTGCGTATTTAACAAGAATATAAATTGTATTATCCTAGCGTGGAACCAAAATCGGCTCAATTAACTTAAAGTTGGCCATGCTTTGGAATAAACAAAATTATTCAGATACACCATCTCTTCACCAATGTATTTACGAGAAAGAATCTTGACTTCATTTGAGTGGAGTGGGAACCTTGTTTTTTGAATTAGTCAATGATGTAAATGAATTGTTGTCCTTCAGATTGGCTACATCTATAAATGACTTAATATGTTAATCGTGTGCATACAATTGTATTAAGTTTACACACACTTCCGTAGATTGATCAAATGAAGGTGAGTTTTGCATGACATAACTTTCTTTTCGTTATGAGTTGCCCTTTGCAAGCATTGACCCTTACCCAAAGTTTTTGTACAGTGGAAACAAATTACGCAACGAATGAATAAGGATTAGTTAGGATTGTTAATAAGAGCAATTCTGTCACATTAAGAGATTACTTATAAACAGGTTCAAGTTTTATCTTGCTTTCTAGATGCTTACAAATCTTTAAGATTATATTAAGAAAATGGTCCCATTTTTTTTTTTTTTATTTTTCTTTTTTTTTTTAATCAAAGAACTAAAATTCTTAAGACTTAGACTATACCTTAAGTTTTTGTTAAGCTGATTACATTATCTTTACTAACATTAACACTATTTCTTTTCTGTAACTACAACAACAATCCAGCCTTAAACTGAGAAGAGGATGGTTCTTATTCGTTGGTTTTCACCAAAAGGAAACGTCTATAATTTATAAGCATTGTATAACTTAAAATATGAAATTGATTTTTTTCCCTCGCGGAAAAAGACCCAAAAGGGAAGAAATATATTAAAATTAACCTATCATTTCGCTCTGATTATAAATTTCATTGGTAACCACTAACGAAAAGCACTAAAATACAATGCTCAGCATTGCTAAAAATTTTATTTTAAACTTTTTAAAATATTAGCTTTTCCTTTGGGCAAAGCTGCAAAAATCTGACAACTTGATCGATCTGGAATATAGGTAAAACGATATACAAGAACAACCTTTCGGGAAAAAGGTTGAAATGTTTTGATTCGCTGGGATCAAAGATCAAATTGCTGTTAAAATTTGATTTCAAGTTAACACGACCGCCAAGTTTGTAGTCGACGAGAAAAATAAAATGCAATTTTTTTTTCATTTTAAGCTCCGTGCTTCCAAATTATGGGCGTTAGCTTTTGATGGGTACTAAATTAAAAATAAAACCCATATACAATTCCTTTATTGTTGTGTGTGTGTCGGGGTATTAAATCCGATGGCCAACATTAAAAATAATAAAGTAAAATCTTTATTCTGAAACTGAAGGCAAATTAAGGTAATTGAACCAAGGTTTAATGTTCTCATTGTTGAAAAATAGAAAATTTGCAGCTACCTCCATGGACATTTAAAATTTAGTGTTATAATGCTATTCATAGGATGTAAATTACAACTGGCTTTAAAAATGGTTCTTCGATAATATTTGTAAAAAGTTTACAAAGAGCATTTGCATGGGATCTTGTATGTTTTATGGTGCACTGTATCTGAAATTTGTCGTTTTTTTTGTTATTCGCGATATGAAAAGAGAAAAATTTTGTGGTAGTATGTACGGGGAGTGTCTGAGACATTGAACATAATACCTGTGATACGTCTCATCTTCACACATTACCACACGAATCAATGAAAACTAAGGTTAACTGTTGTGTTTCCTGCATAACCCCATAGACTTCACTTTTTCTTCACTTATACCATCTTTTCATTTTCTTACGCTCATACAACACCACAAAGTAACCCTCTACCTTAAGTGGCTCTTGGGCTTTGTATTGGGTAACATTTATATATAGAGTAGTGAGTTCGATCTTCAATGATTGTTCCATATGTGTGGTTTTGTGTAAAACTGAGCTTAGTAAATATTATTTTATAATTTTATATGTAAGCGGGTGAATTTGACTTTGAGTTATACTGGATTGTTTCATTTTCTAATCATCAAAATAACGAATATATTAAATTCAATTAAAATTTGTGAAGACCTTATAAATCTCGTTTTCGATGTAAACATTATTAAAAAGGCAATAACGAACCTCACAATTTCATCAGATAAACATAGAACTCATAAAAAAAAATGTCAGTATTATATAATACATGGACCGACACTTTTGCCTAGGTAACTCCATGAGATCGCTAAAAAAAAAAGAGCATAGCATGATGAAAAAGACGCCAAACTTGACGAAAACAAAATTTTATCGTCTAAATGTTTGTCATTATTAAGAGGAAAGACCAAAGTTTTTTTTTTAATTATTTTTTTTTTTTTTTTTTAGAACATTCTAAATTTTGATTAAAAAACCTTGTTTCTCTTCGTATCACCGGAACTAGTAAAATAACATATACAGTATATAGCACGTTTTTATTTATTTTTGTGTGACACACATGAATTTGGAAAATCTTGCGAAAATAAAAAAAATAATTGTCGGATGTTAATGAAACTTCCAAAGACTATTCACAGATGATCAAAATTATTATAAATATGTTTTTTTTATTAAAGTCATGGCAGAAATATTTTTTTATATTTATTAACCCCCCCCCAAACTAATTTTATGAAAACTCTAGAAATTTGATTGAATACAGTTTAGTGATTACAATAGTTAAAAGCACAAGGCTTTGAGGAATGCAAATCATGTTTTTTTTTTTGTTTTTAATTGGACCCCCCTACCTGAAAATCAGCTCTGAATTGTAACATACAAAACTCAATAAAACAAAGATATTATTTAATTTCAAATGCTTTTATTTGCTTTTAGTTGTTTTTATGAATATGGACAATATTTTCTGAAAGCAAAAGTTTTTTTTCGATGAAAAATGAATTTTTAATACAATTAGTTGTTATTTTTTTAATTATAATAGATTTTTACATTTAAGCTGTTAAAATATTATAAAATTAGTTAAAAGCCGCACCCAGTTTCGTAAATGTCCTTATGAAATAGATCTTTTTTTTTACCACATTGTAAATTGTATCGTTTTGACTAATCGGAAAACCTTCAGTAATTATGAAACGTAATTTTGTGTTTATATTCGGGTTGTAATTATAAAGTACGGAAGACCAACCAGAATACAATTAAGTTGCGTTATTTCAGTTAAACATTGTTCTCCGCTGTTAAGCCTTTACTTTTGCGAAACATGTGTGGAGAAGTTAATTTGATTTTTCAATTTCAACTGAGAAGGGTACCTACAAGTATCAGTATCATCTTATGAAATTTATATGATCTTATTTTTTATATTAACCTCAGATATGACATTTTTCCATAAATGAAAGACCAAAATTAATAATAAAATGAATGGAAATACAAATAACACAGTAAAATGTAATAAATGTACATAAAATTATAGTATTTTATGTACACTTCTAAAATTTCATAAAAAAAGATACCTATAAATTAATTAGATACCTTTCTTATGAAACTTAATCTCACTCATAACAGTCTTATTTTAATTTCTTTAGAATATATTTTCCATAAATCATCGTAAACGTAAAGGTGAAAGCTAAGTACAAAAAAAATAAATAAATAAAATTAGAGCGCTGAAAGTTTTCCTTGAAAATAACGAGGTAAATAATTTGTTCACTTAAATCTAAATAATTTCACTTCTCTCCTTCCGTAGGACAAATTATCCCCACGTAATCCTTCAATACGTCATTCATCACCTGTCAAGTGACACGAAATGTTATGACCTGCTTTGTTTAATTTTCAAACTACACCTTTTCGGCGTAAACTAAATAATGCTGGTTTCAAAATATTTTAAATAAACATTATAATTTCTGATTTTCTTAAAATAAGTTTTGAAAAAATGATAATTGATTTTTAAAAGAATTTCAAACTGAGATTTTCATTCTTTTTATAAAATGGAAAAAATGGCTGACATGATTGATTATCTGTCAATTTTGCTGACTCAAAAAAAAAAAGATTTTTAACGAAAACTTCGGACTTGCTAGGAAGGATTAAAAAATGTAAAAAAATAGCCCCGAAATACTTTGATCTTTCCTCTTAATAATAACATAAACATTTAGACGATGAAATTTTGTTTTCGTCAAGTTTGGCGTCTTTTTCATCATGCTGTTTTTTTTTTTTTTTTTTTTTTTTAGCGATCTCATGGAGGTACCTACTTTTGCCTATGATCCATGTTGCGTAACGGTCTTTTGCTTAGGATAAGTGTATATTATTAACTGTTTCTGCTATGTTTCGGGACTACAATGCGAGATCACTGCATCATGTTATTGCCTTGAGCCGTTTGTGG